TGGAACTCACCCTCAGGAGTTTTGGGGTCATTTGGATTTGCTCCCTAGAAACCAACCTCCTTGAGGAGTTTCGAGGTCTCCAAATGTTTGCCCCGAGGACCCGTGCAAGATCTTCCTGTTTCTGGACCCTGCAGAGTGCCTGCTTTGCGTGTCCCTCTCGTTGGCCTGCGCGCTACTGGGGGCGTGGCTTCTGAAGACCTTGCAGCAAAAGGCTGGGTGTGATTCGGCGCCATGTTGGTGTTTCAGCTGAATAACAATTTGAACAGGAATAGTAATAATGATAATAAAAGCCATGATAGTAGCAGGAATAAATATCACATTGTTTTCTTTATTGTTGCCACATATATTTTCCGTACAAGTATATGTATATATCGTATTGGCGTCGCTTTTCACCACACGGCAATCTCAACTCTTGTGGTCACCCCGCCAAAAATACACAAAGCAAGCAACCCCACTAGTCCGGTTTCGCTCGTAGGCCGCTCAAACTCCGCCTCACGCGCCCGTGGGCGCGTGTCAGCTGGCGGCGGAAGCGCTGCGCCCCACGAGGTGGACGAAACCCTTGGGCCTCCAAGCAATTGCTTCCAATCTCTGTCGTTTTCGTGGAGGGGTTTTCCCCGACTTTTTTTTTTCCAGAGAAAACGGGGACCTCCATTGCTTTTCTTTGCTTCTCCTTCTTTGTTTGGTCGAAGGAGTATTTTTTGTTTTTTTCCGCAAGCATCGCGAGGGGTTCTTCCGTGCGCAGCGCTTGGATCGAAATGCACGGATAACTTGCACGGGAACTTGCAACAACAACTTGCTCTAAGAACTTGCTCAAAGAAACTGGCGCCAAGAGCTTACACAGAGGAACTTGCGGCAAGAACTTGCGCAGATAAGCTTCCTCAGAGAACTTGCTCGGAGACAAGTTGCTCAGAGAACTTGTTCAGAGAGAGATTGCTCAGAGTCTTTTTTTTTTTTTTTTTTTTTTTAACTTAGCAGCTTTCTAGCGCGTTGCGTGAACACGCAGTAAACATTATTTTTACGAGATCGAATGCGGGCTCGAAAGTTTGGCTCGTGGCTTGCGCGCTTGATCTTGGAAGCGAGGTCCTGTGCTTGATTCCTTCCTATTTAGGACCTTACATATAGGGCTTTCTCAGTGAAACGTGTGGCAAGAACCCGCTAGAAAAGCTTTTTCGGAAAACTTGCTCTGAGGAGCCTGCGCGGGCAAGAGCTTGCTCGCAGAAGTCGTGCAGAGAACTTGCTCAGAGGAACTTCCATCAAGAACTTGCGCAGACAGCTTGCTCAGAGGAACTTGCCTTGATAACTTGCTTAGAGTCCTTGCTTAGGGAACTTGCTCAGGGAAGTTGCTCAGGGAGCCTGCTCACGGAACTAGACACATTTTGCAAATGCGCGGCAAAACGTTTCCCAAACAAAAGCGAGAGCGGGGTCAACAGCAAAATATGCTTGTAGGGCTACATTTTGATTCATTCCCTCCGAGCCACACAAACACAGAACAGAATCCAAAAGCTCATCTTGCTTTAGCCAACAGCTTGTTTCTTCCCAGTTGTGCTGATACTGCTGCCGAATGGTTTGGTTCTGTGGCTTGAATCGTTTTTTGAGGAGTTTCCCCCGCGACAGCCACTGTTGTACAGTCACTTGTGGCTTCCACCTTGAACCTCCATGGCTTCTCGCATGTTGCCAATGGTTCAACTCTACACCTTTTTGGTGAGAACCCTGGCTGATGGCGACATCTTGGTGACCACTAGTAGCAGCGACGGCTCGTATGTGATCGAAGCCATTTGTACACAATGCAGCTGTCCTACTGCAACAAATCCTGGCTGGAGAGGCCATCAATCTTTGGAAAGCTGCGCTCAAACTTGCGCACAAGAAGGATCCTGGATCAAGCACGCCAGTGGCCTAAAATCCAATGGCAGCCCAGGTGATAACAACTGTGGCTGTTGCAGCAGCTTGGAGACCATTGATCAACCCGCTGACTATGGGATAAATGTGTACCAGGTCAGCGATGCGACAGTGACCACCAGCCATGCTCAGTCCCCAAGCTCCTATGTGATCCAGGTGGTTTGCACACAATGCAGCTGTCTCACTGCACCGACTCCTGGCTGGAGAGGCCACCAATCTCTAGAAAGCTGCGCTCAAACTTGCGCGCGAGAGGGATCCTGGTTCAAGCACGCCAGTGGCGTAAAATTAGACGGCAGTCAAGGCGACAACAACTGCAACTGTTGCGACACCGTTGAAGTTATTTTTGGCGATGGTTGGGGGGTAAATGTCTACGAGTTCAGAGATGTAGATGCGGACTACTACTTCCGGGTTTCATGCGGGCCGAACTGCTCCTGTACTGAGTCAACAAAGGCCCGGACGGCATCAAAAACTTTCGGTGACTGCGCTGCCTTTTGTGCTGCTGAGCAGTTTCCCCGCTTTCAATATGATGACACTGTCAACGAAGGCACCTGTTCTTGCTGCATCTCACAAGGTGACGAGAGATCTGGTGGTGGTAGCGTTTATGCCTTTGACAGCTCCCGTGTCACTGACAGCTCTCGTGTCACTGAAGCAGGAGCTGCCCATCGATCCGCGGCCATCATGGTAGCGTGCCTGCTTTTCTTCGCGTTTCAGCACTGTAGTGAAGTCCACCCCCAGAGTTTCACAATGTTTCACGCTTGAGCATAAAGGGGAGCCACGCAGCTTGAGTAGGGAAAAAGACCAAAAAGCTGATTTCACGTTCTGCAGGGATGGGTTCACGAAACATTTTGGTGCGCGGGGTTGGGGTGGGTGGGGGGGTGGGTGGGGGGTCGCTGTGCTGCTGCACGATTCCTGCAAAACAATTGGTAAGCAATGCGTTCTGCAATCGTCCCCTAGTTTTTCACCATGGCCAATGGAGTTCAAAGCAACGGCAGCCGCCATTCCGCTGGATGGCGACGGCTTGCTTTTGGTTTAATTGAAAGCAATTCTTGCGGCGGAAAAGCACGCTTTGATTTGCACACTTTGGCAAATGCTTTTATGCATGAGAGCACAATGGCCCAAGTGCTCTAGTTTGTGAACTAGGACACGAAATGTGTATCTTCTATGAGGTTTGCACGTCTGGCATTGCAATGTATTTCACTTGAGGCATGCCGCGACCCCACAAAGAGAACAACAGAGAAAACATGCACCCACAAAGCCATAGCCCTTAAACCATTACACCCTAAACCATCAAACCACAAGCCTCGAAAAATCTCCACCCGTGAAGTCGTCGCAAACCCGGTCAGTGAGCTGCGGGGTGGTGAGATGGGTCGGGAACTCTCAATCCGAAGCCGGCCGTGGAGCCAAAATCCCGTGTTTCTTCCGACCATAAACGGGACAGAAACAACATACATAAGTTCTCAGCAGTACAACTATGGCTCTAAACCACGTAACAAGTCCGGAACCCAAGCCTGCAAAGCAGGAACCATTCCCCAACGCAGCCCGATCCTGAATGTTTGTCCTGAATGCGTCCAGCGCGACTTGACGGACTGATTGTTTGCAACCTGTTTGAGGCAATTTTAGGACGCCTCCTGTTGAGCGAACCATCTCCCAGATGTGCCATGGTCAATTTACTTAAGGTTGGTAGGGACGCTCGTGGACCCTTTGATTGGGGGTTTGAGAAAAACCAACGCCAGGGCTACCCACGTCTTGGGAGCTTTGACCATGGCTCATTTTTTTTTCCACTACGCAGGTGGTACCAGCATCTTGTCCTGGTGCTGGCCGTGGTGTCCCATGTCTTTGCGCCGCTGGGCATTGCATGGATTGTACACCCGGAGCTGGTGGTTCTACTCCTCGCTGGCAAGGCGCTTCTGCGAAGCAGCAGCAGCAATGCGCTCAGCTTCTTGCCGATGGGGCTCAGCGTCGGCAGCAGGCGGTTTTTTCCATTTGGGACCGGCAAGGACCTAATTCCAGGCGTCCCGTGCACAATCATCCACTTGAGGGATTTGGTTGGTTATTTGGTTGGTTGTTGAAGTCGAAACGTGGAACCCTTGCTGGTGCTCAGCAGGGAATGAGGGAAAGACACTTAAAAACCATCCAACTGGGGGTTTGCTTTAGCAGCTGGGTTCATTCCATTTCTCATTCCCTACTGATCGCACCAACCAGAGAACCTTAGCAGCAGGTCCTACCACTCCTTGCTGTCCGAGCTGTTGGAAGTCTTGCTCCCTTTCACCGCCTTTGCGGGTGCGATGGTGGCGCTGAATTTCGTGGACCCACAAAAAGCATTAGGAATCCTTCTGAGGGAGGACCGGAAGGTGGGCGTGGCTAAAAAATAAATGAGCTGCATTTGCGCAGGTGTTCGTCCTTTTTTTCCATTTACTCAGGTAACAAGTTCTTCAAGGCCCCATTTGAGCTACGCCAGGTGATGTTCCAAATGCTGGCTGACCAAATGACGGTGGGCATCTTCATGGCCTGCGTGTGGGCTGCCACGGTGCTTTACTCGCTGGTCCTCTGTGCCCTTCTGATCCGCGTTGACCGGACCCAGCCCGGCCAGGCTTCGCCTTCAGACTCAGATCTGGCCTTCGTCTTGGCCAGGATCACCGCGCAGGAGTCGTGGGCGAAGCAGGACATCACGGCGCAAGCAGAGCCCAGAGCTGGTCCTGTGGAGATTGAGCTGGTGCCTACTGGTGCGAGCTCCGCGGCGGAGCCCGTGTCCTCTTGGGAGGTACAAGTGGAAAACTTGGGGAAAAGGCGGTTGATGATCCACTGGGATGGCAGGCAGGGTCAGCTTTTCTAAAAACGAACCGCTGAGATCAAGTTGTGGTGTTTGGTTCCCGACGTGTGTGCAGCTGTAGTTGTGCTTGAGAGGCTTTAACACCAAACAGGGGCAACTGGAGCCTCCCTCCCTCCTCCTCCTCCTCCTCATCATCATCATCGTCGTCATCGTCATCATCCACCAATGTAAAGGGGAGGCAGATGGCCCAAACTGAGCAGGACAGGGTGCCCTTTACGGAATTCTGTCCGTAATTGGTGGGATGCAACATGAGTTTTTAGCGTAAATCTGACAGGTCGTGCCAAGTGCAGATGCTCACGCCGGGCCAAATCTACCAGGACATGGGGGTGATCGTGGCAACATCCTTCACGGACCTCTTTGTGGCAAAGCAATTTTTGGAAGGCCGCTCGTTCTCGCAAAGCTTTATGTCCTACCGGCTGACACGGAAGCTAAGAGTCGCTTTGATGCTGCCCTGCGCGAAAGTGGGGTGACTTGCGTGGTGTCCGTTCGCTCAGAGAGCATGAAGCTTGATCAAGGGGGGCTGATTCAGCTTGGTTCGGTCGGTGACTCAGGCCACCACGTTTGGTTTGCCTTTCTCACATTGGCCACGTCTTGGTGTTCAATGCTGCTGGAGTTGCAGACCTGGAGGTGCGAGAGAACTTCGGCGCAGTCCTGAAGAAATTGTATCGACCAGCGGGGGCCCGGAAAGAAAAAGAAAGAAGCGCGGTTTCCCTTAGGACCCCATTTTTTCTCGAAACCCTCCCGGGTTTCGATGTGCAAAGTCACTGACCGCTCAAGGGACTTCGGTCCATGGGTCCCAATCTTCTCATTACGAGGCATAGCCTACAAAGGCGATTTGGGCGTGTCTTTTTCTAGGAGACCCGCCATTTGTTGTTTTTGGTTTCCCTTAAAACTCCCCCGAAAAAGGGCGGTAATTAGTTCCCGATCCAAACAAAGGACCACGAGCCGCCCCTTTCCGGGTCCCGGGTCTCGCCAGGAACCTGAGGGAGGAGCTGCGCAAGAGCGTGGCGCAGGGCTTCTACACGGACCGAATGGTCGCTCTGCGCGACTCCGAGCGGGGCTGCGAAGGCCCCAGTGTTGCGCTCGGCTGGGGGGGGTGTTGGGGGGTGTTGGGGGGTGTTGGGGGGTGTTGGGGGGGGAAAGGACGGGCTTGGGATCCCAAAAAATCACTCATCGCCGAGAGACAAAAAGAAGAGACACCATGCTTAAGTCACCTGAGGTTTCAAGGGACACCTAAGTCACCTCGGAGCATTTGTGCGGGTTCAGCTTTTCAGACGGCTTCTTTTTTGCCTCTGCTGGACATCCCCTCCGCCTAACTCGCTCTTCGAGAGGCGGGTGGCCGGTGGCCTGTGACCCAATTTGTGGGCCCGCCAAACCCCCGCAAGGCTTCATTGATCTGGCGCTGAAGGTGTACGGCATGCCGTATGGTGTGGACTCCAACCCGGACTTTATCGGCTTTCTCTTCATCATTCTGTGCCTTGGTGACCCTTGAACATGGGCTTTCGGGGGGCGAAACCGGCTCAAGCTCGCAGACATGGCGCGGGAATTCGGAGTTTGAGCTAGTGGTGCACAGCCTTACTCTTGCAACATCTTGTGCCTTTGTTCATTCCGTTTGTTTTTGTGGACTGGCTTGGTCTCAGAAAAATACTGGCCATATGCCCCCCTTTCTTTTCACCAAGTGCCAGTTTGGGCACTGAGGGTTCCCTTTTTTCGCCAGGGTCACAGAGATGGAACAATTGGAACTCCAAAGGAGTGACTCGGATGCTTCAAAGACGAATGGCCTCAACAATCAATTTGGAGGCCCAACCAGTTTTGAAGATGCATATCTGGCCCAGGAAAGGGAAAAGGAACCATGTTTCTACCCTCATCTGTCGCTTGGGGGGGGTGGAGAAAGAGACGTTGCTATGGACGGGCACTGGGCCAATGCCAGGCACCAGTGTCATCCACGCCAACTGGCGGTTTCAGCACCTTGAAGGGGGCTCTTTCTTTCGTGTGGCTGGACACAGTCCTCCGCTTAGGACAAAGGAACTCTATGGTGGTTGATTTTTACATTTCAACAGGTGCCGATCGGCAAGTGTGGATTTCAGCCACACTTTGCCAGCAAACCGCGTGGTAGGTGTCTTTGGGTTTGTTTGGTTAAAGCTTGGGATGGATGAAACTCTGTCGACAAGCTTGCCGGTGCGATCGGTCGGGACTGAGGGGAATGAACCCAGGGGTTTTTTGCTTAAAGGGAAGCCACAAGTTGGATGGTTTTATTGGGTCAGCCCATCGCACCAGCAAGCAAACCACCAAAAGAAACCGCCAAGCCCAACCAGATTTCATCCATCACTTTGGCCAACTTCGAAGGATGGGCCTCCGGGGTCTGGTTCTCATGCTGCGGACCCGCGACCAGCTGGCGGGCTACTGAGCCCTGAGCTGAGCGAGCCGACGCCGAGCGCGAGGAGAGGGGGGCTTCCGGTGAAATTGAAATTGGGCGCCTTCACCCTTGGGTGTGAAGGTTTTAAAAAACAAAAATGGCAGCTTGGTTAAACATAGATGGGCTCCACTGGTTTAGGTAAGTCTAATATTTCATTTGCATATGTTTCTTGTTTGCCCCAAAAAGAATAAGCTCAAACAAAATGAGGCGGTATTTTCGCAACCGCCCTTTTGGCATTGGGAAGGGATTTTCCTTTGAGCATGCTTCAGGGGAAATCTAGGGAGTGAGGCTGCCCCATTTTGTTTCCCGGTGGCCTTGGTTGGCGCTTTTTGCTTCGTGCCAGCCGTAGTTTCGAAACCAGAATCCCGTGGCGCCAACACACACACACACATGTGTATCATGAATCGATTTCAATCTCTCGCCTGGTTGTTTCTTGCCGCTGTGAGATACTCTGCGTAGCGGGGAATGGCAAAGGTATACCCCGCTTTCAGACGCAAGAAGTCCGATTTGCAGATTCGCCGCCATCCTTCAAATCGCCCAGCTTCAGGACTGGTTGCGCGTCGACATACGCGCCTCGGCACATTTGCTTCACCTTTCCAAGCAAGTGGGAAGTTTTCTCATCTTGTCAACACTACCAGCATCACCATAATGTTTCTTGATTCATTGCGACGACTTCCTGAAACAAGAGAAGCCACATGCTGCATTGGGACATTGCCCATGATCAAATCAGATATGAAGGTTACCCACGTGCTCTGAGCCGCAATTCGGGAAGGACTCTTCAAATTCGTGTTGACAAGATGGGAATTGGATTCGGCTGGGTTTGATCCGACTGGATCAGAGATGCCTCACCGGTCTTCAACTGGCTCGCTTTTGCTTCAGACTTGATGTCCAAATCAGCATTTCTCTTCCAGGAGAACCCAGAAAACAAAGCATAGAATGTGCCTCCGCTGAATTTTACGTGTCTCAGAGGTATGTGGCGCACGTGCAAAACACTGGGGTTGTCTCCAAACAGGCGGCGCCGTCCGCGAACACTGGGGATTTGTGGCATGGTTTCCCTTCAAAACAACCCGAAACGGGTGCTCTCCAAAAAGATCACCAAATGAAAGGACAGAAGGACAGATCCATATCAGCCCTTTTGGTGATGGTTACCCGAACAAGCCATTCTGGTGGACAATTCTTGGCAGAAAGTGTCCCTTGCGATTATCTTGGCAGAACTGATTCACCGGACCAGCCAGAAGTGGCGCGTTTTATTTCTTGTTGAGGGGGGGGTCAAGGTAAGACATGCCAGCCTCCTGAACACCTTCCATGACTTACTTTCTATCCTTCGGTTTGTACGTAACACAAATTGCATATATGTCTATATATATATATGTATTAGTAAACAAGATGTTTTTTGTTGGTTGGGTTGGCTCGGAGCTGTTTGTCTGCTTGCTTGTTTGGGCGGGTCTGTCTCTTTGTTTCTATGATTGTTTGTTGGGTTTGGTTTGGTTTGACGGTGTGGTGTGGTTTGGAGTGGTTGGTCGTTTGCAACCTCAGGTCCACCCGTGACATGTATATATATATACATATATATATATGTATGTTTGTATCTATGTATATATACATAACGATATATACATATATATATATGTATATATATACATGTTCTATTACTTGTATGTATATATATATATATATATGCATGTTGCTGTATGTGTTATTGTGTTATATGATATTATGTTATGTTACGTTGTGCTATACTATACCTGTTTTGTATATGTGTGAAGACACCCTGTACTGACGACTTCTTCAATTTCTTCGTTCCTTGAACACACCGGCCATGTCGTCGGACAGCTCAGGACACAGAACGAGCAGTTGACCCCGTTCTGAAGGACCAAAGTGGCGAACTCCCGCCTATTCAGCAAAGCGCGCACGGTGTCATGCTGGAGGTGATCATGAATTGACCCCCGAGCGGAGATTCGGGACAACGAGTGCGGCTGCCATCGGCTCAGCGCAGGTGGCGGGAAGAACAGCCCCCCTAGTCTTTTTGTAGACGGTCGGTCAGCAGGCTGCTAGTGGTTGGCGGCGATGCGGCAAGGCGGCAAGGCCGCTTGCCTTGCGGGCCCCCAACACACCGAAGACTCTGCGCCGCTGGGAGCTGGAAGGGGGCGGAAAGCGCGCGAGGCGGGGAGCGAAGAGATTTCAAGGGGGGCGATCCGAACGGAGCACGGAAGCCAGGAAGACTCCCATCCCCGACGGTGCTTGCAGCGAAGGCGCGGCGACGAGGAGATGCTATCTCAGTGGCTTCCTGGCGATCAAGCCCCTCTGCCTGCAGCGACCCCCCCACGCCGCTTTTCAGTTCTTGCCTGCAAGAAGGCTACCCCGAGGTGGCCGCAGCGGGGCGCGCCTCGGTTGACGGGTAAGCAACCTTACCCCGGGCCACCTTCTGCCAGGCTGCAAGCGCAAGAAGCAATGCTGGCCACCACGCCCGATCAATATGACATTGATTTTGTGTCCACGCCAATTCCTGTGAGTTGCATCCCCTTGTTTGCTGATCAGTGGGTTCTTGGTGGCTGGCGGTCGATGCCCGCAAGAATCATGTGCTAATGGAGTTTGGACCGCTGACAAACCTTGCTTTTCAAGAGCCAGCCAGAAAAAGGGACGCCGCTCAGCAGCGCAACATGCGCCGCTTCACTCAACCAATCTGTCAACTTACCGGGTTTTTTGAAGCGAACATGTTCTGGGTTTCTCGAAGCTAGCCTTGGTGGTGGTTTCCCGAGCACCTTTTCACCCTCATGGCCCTGGGCTACTCACCGTTCGGCTCACTCCCGAGCTCACTTGAGCCAGTGCACCATCCCCGAAAAAAGTGCATCCAATGCTTGTTGATTGAGATTGCATGTGAAGGGCGTGCAAACAATTGACAATCCGAGAACAACTTTCCGATCGCCGTACGTTCAACAAGCTGAGATATCACATCCTAGAAGGGTGTGTTCAGCAGAATTGCATGCATGGACGTGTTGCGAAGCAGATATTGGCCACACAATCAGCCACACTTATTTAAGATGATGGGTAACACATAGTGTCTGCACACTACCAACTGAGGCACACTACCAAGTGAGGCAAGCAAACACATGAGGAGACTTGTTGAACTCTCAGTTTTGGCCTTGCATGGTGTGTCTTTTGTTGAGGGACTCCTTTGGTTGGTTTTGAAGGAGACCAAAGCGAAACCATCCATTTGCGGGGTTTTCCTATTTTGCGGTAAACCCACTTGCCATGACAAGCAGATCGAGCTGGACGCCCTTCAGTCCAACTGTCGGGCGGGCATGGCGCGATGCCGCCTTTTGGCCTCTGGCGAGAGGCAAGGGCACTGGATCCTTGTTTCCTTTGACCCGGTTTCCCCCTTGAACACTCTGCACAGAAGACATGGGCCCCGTATGGTCGAAGAGAATCAACTGGACGTCCGAGCCAAAGCATACTCCGTACGAGAGCTCCCCTTGTCTCATGAGCGGAACCCTGCAATGGGATTGAAATTGGTCTGTTCGAGCTGAGAGCCCGAACCTCAAATGGGAAGTTTTAGGTTCTAGGTTCATGAGGCCTGAAAACAGCTTACCAAGTCAGAACCAGTCCTTGGGTTTTGGATGAGCTTTGATCCCTTGCACGCATGGCGGAAAACCCATGTGGCTCACAGCTCAGGTGGAATGACGCCGCCCAGGAGAATTCGGGCACGAGAGCAGAATTCGGGCAATTCAAATGTGCCGACATTTCCCTGTTTTGGAACCGGCTCAGATCTGTGAAGCACAAAGATGCTGCAAGTGAGCGGGTTCATTGCTGGATGCAGGGGGAGGGGTAAAGTCGAACCAATGTTGGTATCTGAGCATTGCGAGGACTTTATCCTGTAATTAAATGGAATGACAGGGGTCACTCACCAAAACCCTCGCGACATCGGGGTTGCCCCATCAAAATCCCAAAGATCCAATGCGTAAATCGCGCAGGAAGACTCCGTGCACCCTGCGGGAATTCACAGGCTGGCACCGATCGGATCAAGTTGAACACGGTGCTTGTGAAACACCCACATAAATGGCAGTGGCTCAAAATTAAAGAGCTAGGGTTACGCAGGTTTTGGTCTATGTTTCCACTTACCAGGGCACCCCATTTTGGGCAGGGTTTTTTGAGCCATACCCAAAACATTTCTCACGTCTTGAGTCTTTTTGGGACGTTTACCCAAACGTGTAGACGTGTTTCTCTCAAACTTGGGGACCAACGAAGTCCTCCAGGTGTCCTTTTGGTTTCCTTTTAAAACCATCCCAAACGGGGTGATTTTCCTGATTTTTGAATCACAGCCATATGCACTATGAGTTTCAATAGGGACCCACCTGAAAAGTGGTTGGTGGTTCCCTGAATTCCCGATTTTGATGTCCGCTCTCCTGAGTGGGAGTTTTTTCACCAGCTTCCACTGGTTACCCTCCCCACAAGTGGTTGCTGGGAACCCCAAAACGGGGTGCCCTTTCTGAGTCAACGCCATCTGGCTGTGGTTGTCAAAACAGTTATGGGATCCCATTTTGGGGGATTGGTGAATTCACCACCCATTTTGAACGAACCGATTTTAGTGGTTGGATTGGTTGATATTCACTGGGGGTGAAAATTGGATGTTGGCCCATGGCCATCTGATTTTCGGCTTCAGCGTGCCAGGCCTGATCAGCGGCTCTGGGCGAAGGGGCCGCTGGGACGAGGTGAAGCGCTGGCCTGAGCCTCAGAGTTTGGCCCAACACCTTGGCCCCCAAAACCTTCAGATCCCTGGCCCCCAGATATTTTTTATTCGATTATACGAGAGAAAATTAATTAATTCACAAAAATGGGTGTTCCTTACTCTGGATGGTTACGAAATCCATCTCGCACCCAAGAAACCGCGGTTGAAACCATAACGTTTGCTGGGAGTTTGGGGGGAGTCATCCGAAACCAGGGCTTTTGAACGGTGGTGCGAGATGGATTTCGCAACCATCCACAGTATGGAGGGGCCTTGTCCGATGCGGAGGTTAAAGGACCTGAAGGTCTCGCAGCTCCAAAGTGACATCGTGGCTCCGCCACGTCTTGCCGGATCGACTTCCAAACGACGAGTGAGAACCACGCGGGGCGACTTCTCACCGACAGGCTGCTTGAGGTTTTGCTGAAGGGCGGCTCTTTTTTGGGGATGCCCCTCAAAGGCACGGTACAGGTGCCCAAAGAAGTAGCAAAGTTTCGGAACCTTGAAAGTGCTGGGTTTCCTTTTGGTTTCCCTTAACCCAACCTGAAAAGGGTAGCAACTCCAAAAACAAACACACACACACACACACAAGTCCAAACCCGCGAGTTCAACAAGCTCTTTGTTCTGTTTTGGGCAATCCAAGTGGGTCGGGTCCGTCTTTTTGTTTTCGTCTTCGAATCGGACCTCCAAACAAGTTTGGTGGTCCTCCTCTTGGTTTCTCTTTCAAAACCAACGAAAAAGGAAGGGGGGGGTACCATCCCAAATGAAGGCTGTGAGAGCACAGATGCCTTGCAGGTGATCTTCAGCGCCAGCAACTTGGCGTCTTCATGGAATGGGGAAAAATGAGAAAGCGTTCACTGGTGCGATATTTTCCGATTTTCAAGAGTCACGAGTCATGAGCCTTATTCGCGGACCACGAAACTCAATAGGGAATCGCCTGAAAAGTGGTTGGTGATGTGTTCAGGTCAAATTGCGAAATCACCAGTTCATCATTTCGGGTTGCAACTCCTTCGTTTCTTCATGTCCAACCACTACACGGAGGTGATTCCCATAAGCAGGCCTTGGGGCGTCGATCTTTTTTGCCGCGGACTCGCATGTCTACGGCCTCGAGCCTGGAAGACGGACATGCTGTTGCAATGTGGCAGTGGGTCAAAAACTCTGTGACCCCAAAATGGGTTGCCCTGGTAAATTCATTTTAAATGGAAGCACCTGCGGTCTGGTGGTCTTATTTAACCCACACCAATTTGTTTCATCACGGTTCGGCTTCAATACCCCAGCGATGTATGCTTGCGAGGACGCTTGCACGGCTAGCAAGGAAGCAGAGATGAGGTGTGCCAGGTTTCACCAGGTTTGCCACCAAAAGAAAGTGCTGACTGAGCAGTTTGTTTGCTGTTGGTTTTAAGGCGAAACTCTCCTATTTCCGTCACCAGCCATTGCAATAAAACGGCCGCCCCCTCCTAAAAAAAAGTTCCCTTTGCAACCAATATGGCTGTGGTTTGGGGTAGGTGCACCACCCATTTTGGTCTATTTTAGTGGGGATTGGGATGTTCACTGGGGGTACGGGACTTTGACCCACAGCCAATATCTTGGACGCTGCCCTTGTCCACCAGCAGATGATGCCAATTTGGACTGCTGGACCGCTTGCTTTCGGCTCTTTGCCCCAGGCATCAGCGCAGCGGCAAAGGCAAAAGGGCCGGGCCGGTGTCTTGAAGTGTCGAAGGGTTTTGGAAGGGTGGCGCCCTTGGCGCGCTTGCACATGGGCGGTTCGTAAAATGTGAACTGGACTTCGAACCACTCAGATCCTCCACATTCAGGAGTGCATTTGCTTGTCGCGGTGACATGTATTGGCTATGTTGTTCCATTTCTTGCCAGGAGAATGACCCAAATTCTCCGTACTCCGAGTCACGCCTCAGAAGGAGCAGGCATTGGGTAAACTCATGGAAATCTCCACCCACGGAACCTGCGGGCAAGTTTGACCAGGTTTTCCTCCATTTCGAGCTCCTGCCGCGGGTTCTTGGGGTGTGATTTTGTTAAAAGTGGCTGGACCCTTGGCGATCATTCGGCTGGAGATTCATCTGAGCCATGCGACAGGCGACGCGCTGGAAGAACTCGGTGGCACGGTTGCTGGAGCTCAAGGAGGGAGGCAAGGGCAAGTTTTCGGATTCGTCGAGACGCCTTAGTGTTTCCAGAGTTGGGTGTTTGGGAATTCTGGGTTGGTTGTGCAGAAGGTTGCTGCTTTCGCTGGCTCGAATGCTATTGCCGGTTGGCAACTCAGGTTTAAGTCACAAGGTTCATAGTTGAGACATGTTGGCTGCACTGAGTCAATCTCCGTGTTTTGCAGCCAAGCCTCGACCCATGTTTTTGGCTCTGGCCCCAATCGTTGGATGTTCATGGCAGGTCTTAGGTCGGACGTCATCGTGTGTAGTGCTGGTGCCTGAGGCGAGTCCGATCTCTTTCGGCATGAGTCCCATGAGTCCCGGAGTGAATCAAATACGCTTGTAGACTTCAGAGCTCAAGGCCCTTCAGGCGGGACGAGCATGTGACCAGCCGAAGGCAGATTTCGAGTTTCAGATAGGGGAATCAATTGAGACGTCGCCTTCGTGCATTTCCCCGGGGTCCGTGAAGGGAGAAGGGATTTTGCGTCCCTCAACATGAACATGTTGAGGAGTTCTCAGAGTTTCTTAGATTCTGGCAGAGAATGATTCTGGAGCGAATTTCCCCCAGGGTGATTTTGATTTGGGTGAGTAGCCTCCATTTGGCAATGGTCATTTGGTGATTCTGAGGATGTCACTTGCATGGGCCCAGTTTTGAAGGGTCTTGGCTCGGCCCCAGAGCACATTGCTTAGGCAGTCATCAGCGCCTGTGAGAAAGTGGGGCAGTGGCAAGGACAGCCGGGGGAGGGGGGGAGGGGGGTGGGGGGGTTTCGGTTGCCAACAGATCCAGGCTCAACACCCAATCACAAAATACCCAGCTGGATATGGGTCAAAAAATATTCCACCAGGATATGGACCGCAGGTTTCAAGTTTTGCGGGGCAACAACCCCTCCCACTAACATGGCAACTGACAGGGGCCGGGCCCTTCAAAAGGAAATTCATGTTCCAGGTACCTCCCATGCCATGTTGGTTGGAGGAAGGGTACCTAAACCACAGCCAGATCACTTCCCTCCAGGCGCCGCCTCGTTGCTGGCTGCGCTGCCTGCCGGTCAGCTCCGCCCCAACGCGCGACGGGAGCAGAAACTCGGGTCGAACTCGGCGGGCCCCCAAGAGTTCGACCCCGGTTCTGTCCGGGGTCGAGATTTGGACCTCCACCGGTGGCGGATTGAAAGTCGGATGAGTTTTGTTGACGGTTTCCAAGGGTCAAAGTCAGCAACTGGGGTTGTGTCCCTTCGATTCTTGGACATGCCGCTTGGCGGGGTGAGATGGCGAAATCATGACGCTCGTGTGTCTTGAAGACAGATACCCTCCCGGAAATCAACATGGCACTCACCACAAGGTCCCTTCCATATCAGTGTCCTGGATGGGCAGGTAGCCTTTTTTTTTGTTTTTGTAAAAAGCGAACACTGCCAGCTAGAGCACAGCACGCACATCACAGAAGGAAGACAACGAAACACCAAGAATCACTGAGAACCCAGAAGGAACAGCACAAACAACCAACCACAGGACACAACAATACATCCTATCCGCCGACTCATCTTGGTTTTCAGGCCGCAGATGTGTTCAAAAAGGGGCCTCTCCACTCTCCACCTGAGAAAATACATGCAACCAACCGACCACTTGGACCCGGCATGGCTCTCCGTTTTTTTTTGTCTCTGCCCCACAGGACTTGTTGATCCCGCCCAAGACTCCCAGGGCGTGTCGTTTTTTCCTCGGCAGAGTCACAAGAGGGGTTATGGTTACTTGCTATTGGGTTGGATCTTTAGACTTTAACTTTTTGGGAAATCAAGGGGGTTTCCACTAAACCCCCAAAAAGTTAGACTTTTTGCAGGGGGGTCAACAGCAACCAAGGTTATGCCCTTTGATTTGGGTTACCCTTGAAGAAAATCCAACCACGGCCGAGGATTGCTCGGGCAAAGGGTGACATCATCCAAGCCACCCACAAGCGTTGGGATGAAGCTCTTAGAATCCAAGCCCAAAAACCCAAAACGCAGTGCCCAGTTTGTGACTCCTTGCTTCGTGCCCAGGAAGATCTCTTAGCGTCCCAGCCACCCCACTGTTCTCAAAAAAAAAACATTAGTTGTTGTTCTTGTTCCGTGCCCAGGAAGATCTCTTCGCGTCCCAGCCACCCCACTTTTCTCATTAAAAAAACACCACGAGTTGTTTTTCTTTCTCCGTGCCCGGGAAGCTCTTCGGCACAGCCCTTCGCTTCCCCAGCGATCCGTAGGCGGTGGCCTGCAACGCTCTTCTCAGCGCCTGTGAGAAGGCCTTCGAATGGGCCAAGGGCTCAGAGTAAGCCCGCGAGCCGCGAGCGAAGGAGCGGAAGGGGGGGGAAGGGGTAGAAGCAAATTGGAAAAAGCGGGGGGCATCGAACAAATTAAAAAGAATCCACGAGTTTTTGTTGTTTGTTTTTGCCCATGGTTCTCTGGTAGGTTCTTTCAACTTGCAAACTCCCTCCAAGCGAAGCCAATCAATCAGTAGGATTAGCTCTCCAAAGTCAAGCGGGTCACCTTGAAAGGTCGATATATTTCAGTACCCCGAGAAATGACTTTGTTCTCATTGATAGCAGGATTCAAGCTGGGCTGCTGACCAGTTCTCAAGTGGGGGTCAAGCACGGTCGTCCGAACATGATACGAGCAGCACTCAGCATGGGCACGCTACCAGTTCATTGAACTCTGCAGCCACCGCGGCCTTTCCAACATGCAGCTTCCCTGCCGATTTCCTTGGCGGACACAAGACATCCCACCGATGTTCTGCTGCCTCACACTTTCTTGGGGATTTCGTGCAGTTCCATTGAGGCTGTTGACCCCCCGTTCCCCAAACAAACAAACAAACGAGCAAGGCAAGTTCCGTGAACGGCTAGCTGCAAGGGTCCAACACTAGGGGCGTACGAGACGAGCCGCGATCAAAGCTCCTCCGCAAGGCGATGATTCCCTTGCCTCACTGAGTCAATTGAATTCTGCGTGTGTATGTTTTTCAGTTGGTACCCTTTTTGGCTTGGTTGAAAAGGGAGGTTAAAAGGACAAGCATCATTTTTCGAGTCCAACTCCCAATTTTGACACCCAAATGATGGGCATATTTGCAGACAGTCACATTTGCCCTTTGCAGAGCCTAGGCTGCTGCGACAACGTGTCTTCAAGGCATGATGGAGGTGGGGTTGTTGTTTCTCTTGAATCGTATTTGGCCAGGGTCGGTATTTCGGCCTTTTCTGGGGGGTATCAAAGTCAGCACCAGTGTAAAACAGCTTTTGCAACTGGGAATCTGCTCTTCACAAAATGAGGTCAGTCAAGAGATCCACAGCAACTGGGGTTGCTCCCCTTGAACCTAGCGAAATCATGAGGCTTGAAGATCCCATGCTCCCGTTGCTCAATGCCGCCCTCTCAATTCCTTTGTATCTGGTGGATTCCCTCACTAGACATTGTCAGCCCCCCACGCAACAACCAGATTCCTCAACAAACGACCTGGGGCACAGCACTCACCAAGCTACTCCACAAGTCAACAGCTTTCATTTCGCCCACTTCCTGCGCCAAGAGCCTCTGGAGCGCTCCGCAGGTGCTCTTGGATCCTGATCTCATCGCGTGCTCTTTGGGGATTCTCGGCGGCGGGCAAGGTGAACAAGCGGTGAATATTCTGTCAGCGGATTCTAAGTTCGCCCGAAAAGCGACTGCCTGTCACTTCATATCCGGACAAGGAGGTTTTATGTGAAGGTTTGGCCCTCAACAGACCCAGCCGCCGTCAGACTGTCAAAAAAGTGCAAACCTTGTAAAGCTCAAGCGACCAGTACACGACAATTTGACAGGAGGCTGTTGCTGGACTGAAGTCTGACCCATGTAAGCTCAGTTAAAGTTATTGCCTGGGGCGTTGCGGCCAACTTCCGGGCTTTCATTGCTTCCAACATGGTCGGGCAAGTTGCTTTCGGCGATTGGGTTGGATCTTCGGGATCCTGCAAAACCTGAACACCCACCAGGCCTTGCCTGAAAATGCCAGGTACAGCGCCTTGTGCAGCTCTTTGGAGTCGCGCGGCTATTGGCAGCCAGGGGCCCAGGGGCGAGCCAAGTTCCCAAGTGCCTAGGACGGAGGCTGTATGTTCCCTTCATTGGGACTCGTTCGCTGACATTCAAGGCTGACAGCAAGGGGCATTCATTTCTCATTTCGCCACAAAGGCCTTTATCGGGGGGGGGGGGGTGGGAAAAACCCGTTGTTGTGTTTCTGCTCCGGCCTTTGCAAGGTGAGTCGCCTCCGATTGAGTTGGCACCTTGTGGCGTCGCTTGAGGCCGGCACTGCAAACCGCCTGGGGCGTGCGAGCACGTGGCTGGGAGCTGAGGCTGAGAAGTGCAAGAAGGGTCTCTAAGTTTGTGGATGACACAACGAATGCGCCTCTATCACACCTTGATATGTTCTGGGAACCACTCCTAGGCATTTGGCTGGGATAGGGTGGCCCTTTGGCAGGGATGCTCCTGGCTGTCCTGTGTGCTGGCTGACAGCCTGAGGTCTCAAAACAGATGTGGTATTCTGCAATGCCATCATCAGCTCGATGGAGAAAGGCGATTCACGGGGCTGTGCCGAAGAAATATTACCCCTCCCATTTCTTTTGGGTGTCAAACTCGGGGGGGGGGGAAAAAATAGTAAAAGGAGAATTCAAAGAATTATTCTTTCTACTATTTTTTTTCCAACAGCAACACAACAAACAGAAAACACAATCCAGAACAACAAGCAAACAAAATAAATAATCACAACCAGCAACAAAAATATTTAATCACAGCATGCAACATTAAATAATTCAAACAAGCATACCAACAAAACAGCAACACTCTAAATCATCAAAGAACCCAAACTCAAAAACACACATCAACAAAAATCAAAGCAACATACCAACAAAAAATATCATAAGAGTATCAAACAAAACAAAAACAAACAGCCAAAGCACGAAAAAATTGAAGAAGCATGCCAAGTCTAAACAACGCACTTTGAAAGAGATAAGCAAATTATAATAATTCAATCTTTACAAACGATAAATATATTACAATTATAACATATAATATTTTACATGTGATAATCATAGTATGATTATAATTTCAGTTCAGGATAATAATTTAATTGATTTGTCTCACTTCTTTCATACATCATTTTAAAAATAATATTAATATCTCTCAATGTATTTTGAATATTAAACTTTTTACTTTCAATAAATAATTTGATATTTTCTTTAACATCTTCTCCTTTCTCTTGACTATAACACAACATCCTTAATATATCATCAATCATACCATATTTTTTCTTAGGGATTTTAAGAAACTGTTTAATATAATCGTAAGGCGGTATTTTATTTACAGCTAGAAATATTAAAATCTCATCTTCTACATTTCTATTATGTCTCCCTTTTATTCTCAACAGACATTTGATTAAAACTTGATTATCTCTCCATTCCTGACAAATTTTACATTCATCTTCTTCATCCATTGAATAATTAATAATATTATTCAATATTTTATTAGGTAAATTTAATTTATACAATTCCATATTTTCTTTTTTGAAGTGACAACAATCATAGCATTTTTTATTGATATAATTATTGATTTTATCACCGTTCATTTTCCTCTTATTATATTAAGGCACTATTTCTTTAAGTCATTTTAAGGCATTAATAAAATTAAGAAACTAACCATAAGTATAGTATAATTATAGCATATAATATTTTACATGTTATAATTATATTTCAATTAATAATTATGGGTTACATTTATAGTCAGGAAAAATGTCTTCAAATATGTAATCTACATATTTATCAATATCGCCAATATCTATATATTTGATATTGTCTTTTCCTATTATTGAATAAATATATTCCCAGAAAAACAAATTAACTAGTAGCCATACTTGATATTTAGTGTTGTAGTAAGACCATACATGATATTTAGTTATTTTAAATTCATTCAAGACCTCGTTTATTTTATCTTTACTTAATAAATGCCAATCAATCGCATCAAACATGCCTCGAAATTTTTTAACAAATGCTTTATATGGTTTAATTGCGCTTGTCCCTCCAAACCTTTTAATCAAATCTTTATTATTAAAAAACTCATCAATTTCTTTTTCAAATGACTCTCTATCAATTGTATGGTAAAAACATACAGGACATCGTTTTTGATATTTCATAAAGAATGTCAATTGTAATTGAAACTTTGTATATCCCTTATCCTTATATTCTTCAACAAACAACTTTTCAAGGTCTCTTGTTATACAGCATTGATTACAATATACATCATATTCACTTATTTTATTACACAGATTAGCAGGTAATAAGTTATACAATGTAAAATTAATATCATTCTTTTTATTATTACAACATTCACACTTACTATAATTAAACAGTGTCATTTTTCCTCTTAATATATTAAGTCAATATTTCTTTAAGTCGTTTTCAAAGAATTTATCTTATAATGGCCGTAAGCAAGTGAGTTTACACTATCTATCCAATATTTTTTGTTTTCATAACTACTAAGAGCATTTTTTTTAGTTGTTATACTAAAAATTCTGTGGTTTTTACTTCTAATACTATTAAATGACTTATGTATAACCTCATTAGTTTTTAAAACAGTCTCAAACTCTTCATATTTCATTTGTCGTCTTACTGTGCCTTTTGCTATTCCCTTACATTTCTTATATTTTTTATCATCACCATAAACTGAGTAAGCATAGCATTTAGGACGAAGAGCTATAAACCCTGTTATTATTTTACTTTTTAATTCATCCTTAAATTTACCTAATACTTTCTTGTTATTATCATCATAACATTTATGTTCCTTAGGATAATCTGAAAAATCTAATTCTTTTTTAATTGAATTAAGGTCTTCATAAATGTCATTGGTTTTAGTATGAAATACAAAACTATCAGTATCAGTATATACCATTTTAATATTATCTCCATATTTAGGCTTCATAACGTCATAATAAAATTTATACATGTGTTGCTTACTCAAATCTAAAATACTCATCCCAATAAATATAGGTTTGTCTAGTTTCAACTTTGTTTTTTGCTTTTCAACTCCAACCAAATTTTCATTAATGATATGACTATGTTTGAAGTTAGGATTACTTACACACTTCATATATCTAGTTTCATCACTCACAACTTCAAAGTCTAAATGTTTTCGCTTATCCTCCATTGTTTTTCCAAATATGGCATTGTTCATCAATTTATAAACATCTTTCTCAAAATCATTTCTAGCATTCTTCCTCTTCTCTGTGTTAAACTCAATGTAAGGTTTTAAAACTTCTTTTTGTTCAAATTTAATTGCTCTATGAATTTTCTTAAGTTTTAAGCCTTGCTTCAAATAAAATTGCAAGGTTCTTATATGGATTACATATTTTTCTTTATCATTTAAATTCAATACTAATTTATTTGTTTTCTCATCCGTAGGTTTTTTATGATTTAAAAATTCATAAATTTCAATTTGTTTATCTGACAGCATGTCGGCTTTAACATTCATAACCTCAGGTGCCATTGGATAGTCATTGTGTAAATCGTGTAATTCTTTAGGATATTCTAAGTCCACTTCTAGAATATATCCAATATTATTATTCTTATAATTAATAATGTCTTCTTCTTTTAATGTATCATCCCATTTTAGATTTTTATATGGCAGTTTTTGTATCATGCTTAACCCATACAAATTATTAGCATCAAAATAGTTAATATAACTACTTTCTTTATTTTTATCATATTCTTCTCCCATGTATTTATTATTTGCTTCAACTTTTTTAGTAGAAACCATACACATCCCGCCTCTAAGTCCCGCTTCTATCATTTCATACATTTCTTGGTCATATATTAAATCAATCTCTACACCAGTCATTTTAAGCATAGCATCAAAAGCAAAGTTAGGCAATGTATAATAATAAGCAGGGTCCAATCCATAATATTTCATACATACATCTCTAAAATTTTCGAAAATGTCAGTCAATAATAATACATCAGTTTTCAAATATAAATCATGGTATTCACCCATATTCTTAATGTCGAAATGCTTCCATATAATTTTTGCCCTTTCATAGTCGTTAACACTTATACCTTCTTCACTCAACTGACTATAAAAGTCATCCTTACTCGGTAATTGCTCATCATCAAATTTATCAAATGAATTCATGTAGTCATAAGGATAAACACCTTTATCAGTCAGCAAATCTAGACATTTCTCACTCTTAATCACATCATTTTTACTACTGAACCTAAAATTATCTTTCCAGTTTTCACGCAATAACCATTTACTTTTATCTTCTTCATCTGTATTATCATACTTACTCATTGAAACTAACTTATCTAATGAAGCAGTTAAAAACCCAAAAGTGTCTTTAACACTCAAACTTTCAAAACTGATATTAATAAATTTTTCACTGTTCTGAGCGATGACACCTATTTTATTGTTGTTACTTAATTTATCAGCATTTTGAATAATTAAATGACCATCATAATTTTTCATGTTATGAAAGAATACTGGAATTTTAAAATATCTATTACAAAAATTAAGATTGCAAACATTATGAGCACAACCTCTATACTTACCTGTAAAATGACAATGGTCTCTAACTTTTCTATATTTCTCTGCTTCCTTTGCATTTTTATAGTTCATTCTAAACTTGTCTCGCGAAGCTGACGCATCGCTCAAGCGAAATGCGTCTCCACAAATAAAGCAGTTTTTAGCATGTTTAAAATCTTCTTTGTCTTCATCAGTCATATCTATTTTTTCGTTTTCTCCCATCTTCTCCTTTACTTCTGTCCTAATCTCATTAAGTTTTTGACAAAACACATCAACAGCATCTTTACCACGATACATAAATTCATAATTTGTATTATCAACAGCATTAACCATATTAAGCATAAAACCACATGGTTTATGCTCTTGATAAGAAAAAGTGTTTTTATCTTCATCTTCATCAGGTTTTTTCAGTTCCTCTGTCAAACATTCAAAATCAGCATATACAACAAAAGGACACCTTAACTTTTTGAAGTGATGCTTAAAACTAACTTTCTCATAAGACTTAGGCATAACTATTTGCTGTCCTTCAACTTCCATACATCCACTATCATAATGTTTATTTAATAATTCTTGATTTCTAAATCCATGATTACAATATTTACAAAAATAGGACTTACCATTATGATTACTTTTTTGATTATTAATAAGTCTGCTCAAACTTTTTATATACACATAATGACTGCAATCCTCCTCATCAACTCTCAACAAATCAAGATGACAAGAAGCATCTTTATTTTTCAATTTTCTACTAATAACAATTTGTTCATTATCATCAATTTCATAAACATTAATGGATATTGATTTATTATTTTCTTCAAATATATCTATATCATTATTATTAGCAGGAAAACTCACACCATCAAAAATCAAATCACTTGCTATCTTCTTGTAATGAAACATCTTTTCAGGGTGTGCTTTATCACAAATTTTGCAATATCCACACTCAATAGAATATTTAAAACACTTGTCATCTTGATTTTTAATATTGATACATGCCTTTTTCTTTT